TGGAGTCTACTCACAAACATTGTCACCATTTTTCATTATCGATCTTAATCTATGCAGTGCATAATCAAGACAGCAGCTTCTCTTTGATTCCTTAATAACATTGGAATTGGGGGGGGGGGGTCCTTTTATGGCCCTCCAGTGTTAGTGCTGTTTCAGCCTAACCGTGAAAAAGGAAGCCACAATATTCCGACCCAAGAAATGTATCAACTCAATAAGGACAAGATAAGCACATATAATCTCTGTTAACTTAAGATAGTGTGAAATAAAAATGAATATTAATGAAGGATGTTAACTATAAAAGTGAGTATATAAGATGTGAGCAATCATCATCCAAGGATGTAATAAAACATGAGAATAATAAAACAGAGGAAAACAGGTAGAAATCATCTCCAAGGATGCAAGTTTACTTTGTCTCACTAAAAAATTAAAATAGGAAACAAATACAAACGAATTTTAAAAAATGCGGGCTATCTTCTTGCATTCTCTTGAAATGAAGTTCTCCTCCTTTATTGGCTTTTGGACTATTGTCACCTACATTGTTCTTACTGTAGCCCAAAGCCATCCCCTTTTTATTTATTTACTCTCTCCCTCTCTTTTTTTTTTAATCTTCTTGTTTGTCACAGGCTAAAAAAACATTCTTTTATTATTGGAAAACCGAACCTTCAAATCATTTGTAACACCCAACACCCACATACCGATGTAGATGATCCGATCCGATTTGAGGTGTCAAATAAGGGTCACCGGAGCGACCCAAAATAAAAATCCCGGAAAAATTTAAAATTTATTTTAAATCGTGTAAAATCATAAAAACTTTATAATTAAAATACAAGTTCGGAAAATCATTCATATATTATAGACATAATTAAAATCATACACGTTTCAGACTCGGATAATAAAAACAGAATACCACCTACATACCTCTAAACACATGCACCATACTCTGCAAGTAACGCCGGTGGAACTCCTTTACTGAAGTTGATAGTTGCACTAGTTTGATCCTTTTAACCTGAAATGATGAGTAAAAGAGTGAGCTTTGGGAAGCTCAGTAATACAGAACTACCAAGTGATGCTGAAGGACATGCAGATAATAGGTAAGCATAATTTTCCTTATTGATTCAGACATCTACAGATTTTTATGTTGAGATGAGGTCCCATTGATATCTCATGTATTAAACACAGGAATCTTCCAGTTCAGAGTATACGTTCGGAAGACTATGTTCAGGAGATCAGAATATGGTGCATAGTGTGCTCCCAAAAAACCAGTGAAAATGTACATATATTTTTAAAACAATAGCAGTTTAAAACGTATTTTAAAAACCATAGTAAAACCCTCCAACCGAACACCGATATGTAGTTCCTCGGAACTGCATCTATAAGGACTTACCCTAGGCCCAAAGGGCGTAGGTGCCAACATAAGGGAACATCTTGGGTCCATAAGGTCTTACCTTAGCATAAGCGTAGGTGCCACCTAAGAGGAGTGCCTTCAGGCTCCTAAGGACTTACCCTAGCATAAGCGTAGGTGCCACCTGAGAGGAGTGCCTTCAGGCCCCTAAGGACTTACCCAATGCAAACAACAGAGGAGCCACCCTAAGGGAATGCCTTATGGTCCGTAAGGTCTTACCACTAGGCCTATTAGGCCCAAGAGCCCACTCAAGAGTCGCCTTAGGTCCATAAGGAATTATCAGTCGGTGCTGAACCAATACAAGGAATTACCAACATAGACTGAACCTGCCAGAGTCTTTAGCATACCAGAGTCCTAGAGTACCCCGTATAAAAATAATTTCAATTAGTAAATAGAGATATCAAAAATCAAAGCAGAGATCAGAACATAAATCATATATCATAATAGATATCAAAGTTCAGAGCAGAAATCAGAGGTCAAACTGTATTTCAAATAATAGACATACTTTTAAAATCAGAGAAAACATATGTGTGATCAGGAAACACACTAGAGGTTCCAGATATTATTCGGAGGTGATTAGTATTTATCAGATAGGGAGTCATAAAACTTCTGTAAACTGATTAAATTCAAAGATGAGATCCCCATAAAAGGGTTTGATAGCTGACAAATTCATCATTTATTCAGAATGTGATTTATCAAGATCATATAGTATTCAGATATTTTTTGGAGGCACTATGTAATGAGAAAGGTATTCAAAATCCTTTGTATCAGAGTTACTCGTGTTTTCAGATATGACAGTAATAATTATGTTATCCAAGAAATCATAGGCATTTAATAGGTGAGAAACGAAGGTTCATGGCATTTACGATTTGTGTATATCTATCAGAATATCGAATTAACTCAAACTATACAAATCCCAACAATGATACCTGTCAACAGGTCAAATCGTTGCACTTCAAGGGTATTCACTCTTTAATACAGACAAGTCTTGTCAATTGATCATCTTCAGAATCATCGCTGAATAGATCTTAGGGAGACGAACATATATTCCAATGGTATTTATTTCATTTCTACATTGTAACGATATCAGGAAAATGTCGACGTGCTTGATTCATTGTTCAAAACCCTTATGGACGGTACAACATATAAGATTATCGGTGTTTTCAAACTTATCCAAGTTATTCACTTACTTCAAGGTCATTGGGGTACTTAAATCAATTAGTATTCAAGTTTATTCCGTTCACTTTGAAGTTTCCAGAGTAAGTACTCTATCGTTTTAACGTTCGAATACGTACAGTACTTCCATTTAGTTCAACTTTGTCATTTTGAGAAATTCAGACGTATAAGGTACTTTCGATAATTTAGCCTCCGGGTGTTTGCTCAGGAATTAGAAAATCTAGGTCTTTTACCATCTTAAAGATCATGATCGATTAACATGATTATTTTCACTTTCCGGTAAAATCCTTATCTTTTACGTCATACCAGTATTTTCGTAGTTTCTTATTCAAGTATTTTCGACATTTAACCTTTAATGAGATTAATAAAAATTTACTAGCTCTGAGATTAATTGTTTTACTAATTAATTTACTGAACTTAGATTTGTTTCCGATTGGTTAACCAATTTCTTTTACGAGCTGTCAGAGTCTTATACAATGTTATGTATTTATTCCAAATTCAATTTGAGTCCAATGATAATTAAATACACCTTATGGACCAATGATTCTCATTCATGCATTTACCAATTATCAATGTATTACAAAAAGCATACAAAAGGTAGTAGAGTATTACCTTGATTTCTATGCTCCACCGATCGAACATTTAATCCTCATTCGATCACTCTCAAACTTGAATTAAACGTCCAATAATTCCTCTGATACAAAGCAACCGAATTTACTTCTTAAACTGAACTTAAAACACTGAAAATCGGCTTATCGAGTGCGAATTTAGAAAAATGGACTTCGAATTCAGAATCAGGACGTTGAAAAACATAAAATATGACTTTTAAGAAATTTTGTCTTTTTTGGTCAAAGTCAACGGACAACAGTCAGACCGGTTAAAATCATCAATTAGACCAGTCAATGGTCAACAGGTCAGGTCAAAGCCAACGGGTCTAGTCAAAGTCAACATGTCAAGTTGGGTTGACTCGGTTCAAGTCGGGTTGACTCGATTCAGATCGAGATGGGTCGGTTCAGACCGGTCCAGACCTGCTGGACCGGTTCTAGAAGGTTTCCAGGGCAGTCAGAACAAGTACACGTGCACGCGGAGGCATGTGGCGACGGCAACAGGCTCGGGATGGTCGACCGATTACTCCCTGTTCAAGCACTCACCAATATCAACCAAAAACATATAAAAAACCAGCCAAAACACTGTGAAAACAACTAGAAAAGTGCGCAAAAACTTACCCAACTTCGACTGGTGAAAATTGCGACAGTGAAGCAACCTACCGGTTGGATTTTTGGTCGCAAAACGCCAAGGAGTATAAAGGCGGTGGCGGTGAGACAAACAGCCGTCGGGATCGATCGAAAATCACAAAAACGACGGGTCTTGTATTTTTTCGATAAGATTTCGTGAGGCTCTCCACGAAAATCGGGGGGAATCTTAACGATCAATCACTTGGGTTTTGGTCGTCGGTCGATGAGGAGTCGAATGGGGGGCGACGGTCAGCGATGGTCGGACGACGCTGAATCGAGGCGAAAAGGGGTCGACGGGCTAAGGTTTGGGGTTTAGATAAATTAGGGATTTTACTCCTGATTGGAGGTTGATATTAATTATCTAGAGAAATTGGGAAATTTAGGGTTAAGTCCCTGAACTTCCTAAATTTTTGAAATTAGCCCAAAAAATTTAGAAACTTATAGTTTGGTCCTAAATTTTTCTCTTATTACAACTTGAATTCAATACTTTAAAATTAGCCTCTAAATTGGGGTGGGACATCATCCAACAACAAAATCATAATGAAATACCACAAAAACACTGATGAAACCTATAACTAAAATCCAATTCCAATAATCAAAATAATTCAATCATTAAAAAAGATGGTTGACAGAGTTTCATTGATCAGACTCTTTGAAAGTAAGTTCTCTCTTAGTCCCAATCCTGACAGCAGAGGAGTTCTCAGTAGCACGATATAGTGATGAATAATTTGAGGAAATTACAGATTTTGGTGTCTTGGATTTTCCCATCTCTATTTCATGCATCATATTATAGCAGAAAAATAGATGTTCCTGCATCAAAATATCCAATGCAACATTAACCATAGAGCTCCAAGTTACACAAAATATGAGAGAAATTATATTAATACAAAGTAATAGCTCACAGTTTCTAGAGATCCCCATAATGAAATGAAATCCATCTTGAGCTCCATTGTTTTTCTTGTTAATATTTGGTCACAAGAAGAGGCCAACACAGCTGCTGCAGCAATAACAGATGACCGATGCTCGACTGAATTGATCTCTGTATCAAAAAGATCAACTCATGATCATAAGCAAACAAAGAAAAGTTTCATAATGGCATTCAAAAAACTAGATTTTTAGATTACCTTTTACTAGAACCAAAATATGCTGCAGAGCTTTAGAGACTAATCCTTTGGGTATACATTCACCATAAAATTTATGGATGAAGAAAGATAAATAAGAGAAGGGCGTTACACAAGTCATTTTCCATTCGAAAGTAGTGAGTACCAATAGCTCCATTCTTTGAATCGTTTTACTTTGGAACTTGTAATCTTGTGTGGGAAATTCTGATAAAACAGGTACTCTGCACTCCTCCATTTTTGCTGCTATTGATAAACATGCCAACGACAACAATTGTATAGCCCACAATTTCCCATGCTAATGAACACAAAAAATTACATTGTTACAAAACACAAAGAAGAAACCTTTCGTTTAACCATTGCCTGAACAATAAAAAAATATAAGCTTACATCAATGGATTTCTTTGAGAGAAATCTATCGAAGTATACTACAGACAGATATGCCGTATGGATTTGAAACCCAAAGAGTGTTCTTGTCTGTATAGAAAAAACCCCTTTTCATCAAATCAAAAGGCAAAAAGGAACAACAGAGAATAGATTAGAAGAAATAAGAAGATACAGATTACAGACATTGAAGATCCATTCAATGGCATTTAAGCGAGCACATCGCAGCCAGTTATTTTGATCGGTAATCCGATAATCACTAGAAGATGTAGTAGTAGAAATTTCTCTTTGAATCAAACTCTCAATATACTCGTCATCCTTATCATTAAAGAAAAGACTTTCATCTTCGTCTTCTGGTTCTGTTTCGAAACAACAATCTGCTTCTTGGGTTTCATGACACAAGAGGCTAGAGCAAGAAAAGTAACTCCCAAACTCTCCCATTTGTCTCGATCAAAATCTTTGTTGCGTAACAGAAAAAAAGAGACACAAAAATCTCAACCAAAAGAAGAAAAACAAAACATGGATTCGGTGGTTTGTTTCCTACAACAACCCGGTATATATGTTGTGTGGAATCCACATTTGAATAGATTTAAGGAAGATTCTACAGTAAAGGGAAAAAGAGATTTGACCTGGGGCTGAGCCTGAGGAGGGGAACCGGGAAAAGGGTAGCTGATGATTTGGTGGTGCCGCCAATATTAGCGGATGAGTTATATAATACTCCAATATAGGAGATAAATGAGGCGTTATTTGGCAGTTACATTACTGTACAAGTGCAGGAAACTAATTTTGTACTTTATTCAATTAAATTTATGCATCTTTTGGGGAATTCTGCTACTAAAATTATTATTATTATTATATAAGCCAAGGCTATTGGAAACAAATGAAAATGATGTCATGTAACTATTTTTTATTTTTTATATAATAAATTTTACCTATTTATTTTAATATTTTAATGTTGCTCTTTAATTTCATTTTCATATATTGTATATCTTTTTAGTCATTTATATTTTTATCACATACTTCACAAAAGTTTAAGTTAAAACGATTCTTTGCAGGAATCAACTTACCTTAGTGGTTAAATGAATCATTATTATTTTTAGAGATCACGGGTTCGAACACCAACGACAGTAATAGTGTGATTGATTGTTTATTGTCAAATGATTAAGAATATTTATAACATATACTACTTGGTAATCACCTTAGTTTAATAAAAAAAAAGTTAAAACGATTCTTTCTTCACATATCTTACTTGAATTGTTTTTATTTAAAATAAAAAATAACCGATAAATTAACTGTGTAAATTTTAATTTATACAAATTTATTTGTTCTAATGCTATGTCTAAAAAATACTATCATGTGTCCCATTTAAAGTTTAAGACTAAGATTTAATATTTTAAGATTTAGAATTACAATTTTCTACAATCTGTACATCGAATAATATAATTGTCTCTGTAGCTTTATTTGTGTTCATTAATTATCTTGTTGGTATCATCGTATCTATAATAGGGAAACACTCACGTGCAGCGCCTTAGTATACGACTAAAATAAGGTGTTATCGGTTTTGTTATTATTTTAAATAACAAAATTGATAAAAAAAAATGACCGAAAACATCATTATTTTGACCGATTCTAATTACCTATATAGGTAAAATCAGTAGAAAAAATCCGGTCAAAAAATGATGTTTTAGGTAGCGCTTTACCGAAAACATCATTTTTTTGACCGGATTTTTTCTACCGCGTTTACTTATATAGGTAATTAAAACAAATCAAAATAATGATGTTTTCGATCATTTTTATCGGTTTTGTTATTTAAAATAATAACAAAACTAATAACGTCTTATTTTAATTGTATACTCCCCTATCTATGAGTATGTTTTCTTAATTATTATAGCTGCGTGTGCACTTTTCTGAATAAGTTTCAATTTTTTATTCATGATGTAATACATGGAAAATGGAATTTATAATAATAATAATAATATAAAAAATATTGTTACACTTATACTCTGTTGTGTCTATCGTCATGTTGTTATTGTAACCTTTTAATTTGTATCTAATATTTGTCAAATCTATTATAATAAAAAAAAGTCATTAATAATCATTAAGTGAGATAATTTTTATCAAACACTGCAACTAAATAAGAATTCTTATCATCCGAAAACATTATTTTTTTAATATAAAATGAAATTCGAGACAACATGTTTCAACATAAACCTACATCAATGCAGCAATACGATTATGCAAAGCTATATAAAAAGATAAATATTGATAAAGATGAGAAGGCAGTAGGGAAAGGGGCAATGAGGAAAGGGTTTGATTGATTAGAAGAGATATGATAAGAAGCGTGAAGATCATAGCCAGGAGGCAGTAGGGCAATAAAATGATCCAACTCAGTGAGTGCGGTGAGGAGCGTCTTCACGTGCAGAAAGACTGGACCATTCTGGTTTTTTATATAGAGAGGAAGACCCCTCTACATGCTAAAGCGATTTCCCCTTACCCTGCCCTCTCCCTATTATACAATATAGATCACACCTTTTTCTTCTTTTGTAAATGAAACAATTTTATATACTTGGATTTCTAGTTAAATTATTTGCTTGGGTCTAAGAGCACCGAGGGGTTTGAAACCTTGGAATCAATATCCATGGGAAGTCCAACATGGTCAGTAATTGACTTTTGACTGCTTTCTTATACCTTCCATCTTATATTATCTATGCTTAGCTTACAGGTTCTAAGTATTTGTTGGAAAAATCATGGCATCTACACGGTACCCTTTTCGGTCTCTATTTTATCTTCTCTCGACATTAGATGCTTATATAATAATATAAGTATGATAATAGAATAAAACAACAGTATAAATATATTAGGATTTAAATTAAAAAAAAAAAGTTCATTCGAAAAAAATCACAAATAAAGGTGGAAAAATTCACTATATTAAAAGATAAATTACGAAGATTTACTTCTAAATACGATTTAAAGTTTAATCTACTTACACTTTTAAATTCTAATCTGTCTTATCTATTTATAGTGATAAATTTATTGTTTGCAAATGAAACTTACATAGAAATAAATATACTCAGATTGTGTTTCCTATGATTTCATCAGTGCGTAAAGGGGAAAGTAGAGTTTCTACATAGACTGAACTTCTTCGTACCGATTTAATGTGAGTTTCTTTTTAAATCATCTCGGGTCCGATAAAAAAGAATTTGGATCACACATCTTTAACAAGTTAAATGTGGGTCCATAGCATGCCCGATCAAAAGCTTCTACTTTGTCTTGGTCCAATCTACAATCTCTATTGTCTAATCATCATGGAATCGGTATATATTATTTTTCTCTTCCTTCTCGATCTCTTTTACGTTTGAATTTGGAAAAGATTATCGATGAATTAATGGGAGTCCAAAAATCTTGACTTGAAAAAGAAAACGTTTTAGGGGTCTTTCTCGTAATTTACTTAAAAATTAAATGAGATTGGACACTTAACATATAGGTGACCAAAGGAATAAAACTTAAAAGTTGTGGTAAATTTAAAAGTTCTTTAAATTGGAAGAGTAAAACTAAAGTAAAATTGAGTAACCAAAAACGTAGTTCACCCTAATATTTTGGGACATATTGATCACGGGAGCGCAGTTTTGATGAGTAACGGATCTTATTGGACCTATTTAGTCAATAGCTGAAGCCTTGATGGGCACATCCAAACAGATATCTACTTTCTTTTGTCTGAGAACCCACGGTTTAAGGGGAGAAGACAATGACATGGACTATAATGCATCTATTTAGATCAAAATATTCTTTTAATTATATAACTATAAATGTATCTTTATTTAAGAAATCAAAAATATAAATTAGCACAAACCAACTTACCTCAGTAGATTATAAATATACCTTCATTTAAGAAATCAAAAATATAAATAAGCACGAACCAACTTATCTTAGTGGGTTAAAGGAATCATTGTTGTTTCTAGAGGTCACGGGTTCGAGCACTAGCGGCTGCAGCAAGGTGATTAAATATTCATTATCAAATGGTTAAGAGTATTTGGAACAGATATTAATTTATAATCAATTTAGCTTAAATAAAAAAATATGAATCACCTCATTAAAAAAATCTCAATAATAAAATCGAATTAAATTGAGTTGTAGTGGATGAAATAAATTCGGACAAGTTGGACCGTTGTCTTGTGGAACATAACGGGCAAACCTTATTATGGTAACATATAAAAAATCTTTCATTGCATATGTAAAAAAAACATTCTTCTTTTTTACTGCAAAATTTACAGGAATCTGATCTAAGTAAAGAAATTTGAGTCTTGACCATCACACGTATGTTGAAGTAGACAAAGAAAAATATATTTGGCTTGTTTGTTACCTTGGCCTAGCTTGTTCTTCATTCCGTCATTCATTTTATTGTCCGATGGAGATGATGATACCCTTCACTTTCCTTGCAACCTATCCTTATTATTACAATATGAAGAGGGCATAACTCACTGCCCAACAACAGCTATGCCTCCGTGTGAACTGAAGATGGAGTTGGCATTCTATGCTTTTCATTTCTTCTTTATTATATACCTGTTGCATGTTTTGTAATGGTAAATGAGACATCTCTGCTGTCGGTTCAGCTAGAAAAAGGGTATAGCTGTGGGAGGATGAGCGAATTTGATATTTCTTAGGACCTGTATTCACACAGCTTCATGGCGACAAGCTTTCGTCATCTGAACTTTCACCTTGTCTCACATTATACCTGCTAAGAACTGGTAGTGAGGCAGTTGCGGATATCCGAAAGGATCGAGCAGAACCCACCATTGTTCTATCCTGCATTTGCCCAACTTCCTTGCAGACATGATCCAATATCGACAGGAAATCTCTCACGATCATGAAGATTCTGAAAGGATGGGCTTCTTCCTTTGCTGCATTCCCATGAAAATAATCAGTAACTTCTTTCACTTGCAGTAAAACTTTTCTTTCATCGGTCTTGATCTTGGATATCTCCTCTTCAGCCTCTTTTAGAAACATCCTCATCGAGTTGAAGAAGTTCCCCTGCATATCTGGCTTCCCATATTGTAAAACCAACCTGACCTTCTCAAGCCCCATTTCGAGCTTCGACACGTAACTGCTTAGGACATCTGAGTCCATTCCTGCTGCCTTCTTGACATTGCCTAGGTCTCTGCTCAGTCCAGCCACAACCTGTAATCCTTGCTTCCTGAAATCATCCTCCTTAATGCTTGACGGCATTTTGTTTTCAGGATTCCCATTTGCATAGTTAGTACCAG